GAATGATATTAAAATGATATTTTTAAATGTTTTCAATATTGACTTTATTTATTAAATTGAACTTTACATAATTTTGTAATAATATAACATTTTTCAGAGCGCATCTATATTTACAACAATGACAATATAGTTGAATTTTGGATCCACATATAGCATCCTCGTCTGGATATTAAATGAACTGTATACGTAATTACTATAACAGCTACATTTGACTCTAATTTCACAATATTTTAAATTGAAATTACGATGGATTAATTTGATGCACTTCCAATTATATACTTGATCTTTAATTATATCATTTATTGTAAATAATTTATACAATGTCTTGCTTGCTTACTGTTTGTTTGTAAGGTTGATATTCATGGTGGTGTTGTTTTTGTTGCTGTTGTTCTTTGTTGCGTTGTCGTTTCAATACGTGTGTGTGATATGTGTGTGTTTATTTAGATGTCATGAAGAATGATTATAATATAATATTAGTTTGGGGAAAAAGGAATCCGTTATTTTTTCGGTAGATGGCTGCACTGATAGATTTCTCGCAAAGTATCGATCAAACAATTTCCGATACTGTACATTTACATACTGTACATTTCGCAGTAAAAAAAATTCTTTTGCTGTTTTTTGTTTGGTGCATTCAGTTGTGAGTTACAGCGTGTTAAAAATGGAAGTGAACAAAGAAAAAATTCGGTACATTTTACAGTTTTTCTTTGACAAAGGCGAAAATGCAAGCCAGGCGGCTAAAATTGTGAATGGTGTTTATGGTTCCGATACTGTAACAGCCAATTATGTGCAATTTTGGTTTCGTAGGTTCCGTTCAGGAATTTTTGATGTTAAAGATGCACCTCGCACAGGTAGGCCGGACGTCGAAAATGTCGATAAAATCGGAGAAATGATCGAAGTTGACCGGCATGTTAGCAGTCGTAACATCGTCCAGGAGTTTAAAATCGACCATAAAACAGTTTTAAATCGTTTACACAAAGCTGGATTCAAAAAGAAGCTCGATGTTTGGGTGCCACACCAATTAACAGAATCAGATGGATCGAATTTCCATCTGCGAAGCCTTGACCAAACGGAACGAGATAGACCCATTTCTTAAACGGATGGTGACTGGAGATGAGAAATGGATCACATACGATAACCCTGTGCGAAAACGATCGTGGTCAAAGAGCGGTGAAGCACCTCAAACGGCCAGGAAGGTTTTGCTATGCATTTGGTGGGACTGGAAGGAGATTATTTATTATGATTTGTTAAAAAAAAGTTTCGGAAATCTTTTGAGATACGGGTTTACATAAATTTTATAAAGTGGTTATAGAGGTCAGTTGCATTAGTAAGCAACTTTAATCTACGCAGCTATATATGTTCTTTAACACTAAACGCATTTCCAAATTCGTTTGCATTAAATAAATTAATTTCATTCTAAATTTCTTTTATAGTAACGGCAGATTAGAAAATTACATTGAGCTTTACCCGAATCTTTAATATCCGTCATCTATATTTTAAAATAGAATGTGCGAATATCTATTGCAGCTTTTATGGGATTTAAACGGAGATATTCACACTCTGGTCTACTCTTTGTCTGGTGAACATGGCTTTTGACCGATTTGGCCCATTTTCAGCACCAAACTGCAGGTAGCAGTTTTCAGTGTTTCTGCCAAATTTGAAGCAGTGTAGGACAGATAAATATGGCAAGATGGATTCGAAATCTGGTGCTAATCAATAATACGTGCACATTTTATAGGTTCTCCGAAGTTTCTTTCAGCATATTGCAAGTATTTAGGTAAAAGAACCAAATTTCGGCTTGCCCTGTACGGCGCGATGGTTTCGTCAGGGTAAGCCTCCAGCAGCTCTTCCATAATTGCTTCGAAGCTCATGACTGTGGTGCGAATGTCAGTAGCTAGGTGGTCCCCAATAAATTTGCGGTGAAAGTATTCTTTTACGTCTTTTAGTTGTTCTTTTTTCTCTGGTCAAGTTTCGCTGCTGATCATGTTTCGATGGAAGATGTTCAGGAAGGTCGTAAATATCGCGATTAAGTCGCAGACTGCTTGCGCTTTTCCGTCGGTATCGTCTATTTCATCCATGTGTCGATGTAGTGTTGCGACTTGCACGTCGCTCATTACCTGCATTGAAACGGCCGTCGTCCATCCCGCGCTGTAGGCCGACATCCAGCCTCTTTGATGGAAGTGAGAACAATTTTTCGGTCGCATATTTGCCACTATAGACAGTACATTCAGATTATAATGGTCTTTGTTCTTGTTTATTTTTTTTACAATTGCTCTTACCAGATGGGGATAATCGAATACAAGCCGGATGCAATGTGTGCTGCCGTCTGCCCGCTTTCTATTGTATATATTGGTGTTTCCAAATTTTCGGGTATGTTGTACATTTGCCGCATTTCGGTCGCAGACGACGGCTCTCACGTCCAACTCCAACTCTTCAGTCGCTTTGACGTTTTCTTCTAAGGCCCATTCCATGTTCTTTTGAGCTATTATGCGGGGATAGCTATTCAGCACTATGTTGAAACAGGTGAGGAGGCTACGTGCTGCGAAGACTAGCACACTGTGATGTTCCAATGTTTTTGTTTTTTTTTGGTTCGTATGATCGCAACCCCGCAGTTCGTCATCTGCGAGTACACCGTCGCGTGGTTGGTGTAAACTTCGTCGAAGTGGATTTGTACTAGTTTGTCTTTTTCACTCAGTTGGTCGAATTTTGACTGGGCAGACATAGGTGGACTATCGCAGCTCTCGGCATAGACCGGTACGAAATCATCCTGGACCGGTGCAAAGTCGTCTTCTTCGGTCAGTCGGGCGCGTTTTGGGCCATGCGACTGCCGGCGACTTGCAGCCTCAGCAGCTTTTCTTCTGGAGTTCTTCAGGAAATTGTGCAAGAGCATCGAGGCACGTGTTTCATTCCTTGATTCCGGCGTCATCGACATCTCGCTTGGAGTGGTTCGCCCCGTCGATCCTGGCGATGACGCGATTGAATAAGCTTTAGGAAGAGTTTCACATTTCATATTGCGTATCGTGCGCCTCAGTTCAAATAAAACATGTACGATGGATGTTTTGAGAACCTTTTCGCCGTCTTGGAATCCGCGAAATTTTTCCTTCGCCAGAAGGATATCTTCTTCAGCAGCCTTTGCTCTTGCTATCAGTCTCCTCATGGTTGCAGCTGCCTTCTTATATTCCAGCTCTTCAGCATACCACACATATCCGGTAAGAGCGGTATGGGACGACCCTTCCTCAAGTTTTATTATGAATAGCGAGCCGCTTACTTTTCTCGAACGGGTTGAAGAGCAAGCAGATACATACAGTGTCGGCAATGACCGAGCTTAACGTGGTACCGCAACAACAACCAACGCTGGATGGCCTGGGAGAAGTTTAAAGCCAACCTTCTGAGATTCTTCTTGCCATCGCGACACTTCACTCGACTGGGAGATGACATCCGCCGACGCACCCAGCGACCGAGAGAGAAATTTCAAGACTATGTGCTGGCCTTGCAGGACCTGATTCGCCATACCACGATGACAGAAGAGCAAAAATTGGAACGCATCTATATGAATGCGCAGCCTGACTATATGCTGTACATACGGCGCCGAGACTTCAACTTAGCGATCGATTTTGAAGGGGTGACACCCATGACACGTCTGGGTCCACAGCCAAGACTAGGTTAACCAATTGCGAGCCCCATAGTGACCAACGTTGACACACAACCCGTACTTACCGGCCAACATTACAATGTCGGAAAGCCAGAGGTACATGAGAGCTGATGGGGCCTTCCGCCAACAAGATCCACACACCACGAGCGATGGCACGGATTTACGCTTCGATGACAACCGGATCAGCGTAAAGGTTATATTCGCGGGTCTGAGAGCCACTGCCACAGTGGATACTGATGCGACCACTAGTTTCATTGCCGAAGCCTTCGCCCGAGAGATCGAGAGGGCGTGCCCGAGTGAACGTTCACTTAGCCGACGGAATAATGTTAGAGACTTGCAGCGCGTTTACATTCCCTGGACCGGACCACACACCTTCGCCTTGTTATGCGTGGGGTTACTGAAGCGTTGCTACTAGACTACAATTTTCTCAAGGCGTTTGGAGCCAAGCTACAATGTGCGAACCAATCGGCATCGTGCCGACCGATCGGACCTCCAAGCCAGGTAACTACGACCGAGCCTACAGCAGCGACGACCCGGACCACGGTGCGTAGAAAGGACAATACATCTCCCGAAACCTCGTAAACCCCAACATTCAACCAAAATACGACTGATGGGCCTCAACTCAACGCCGAGGAGGAACGGCAATGCATGGAACATTTCTTGCAGCGGGAACTGCCCAAGTTTGCGGGGACTCATGACCATCGCCGAGCACAAGGTTATCATGAAGGATGACCGACCGTTCAACGTGCAGCATGCCATCTGAAACCCGGCTTTGCAAGCAGTGATCAACAAGCCGATCGCAAATAGTCAAATCGAACACGCTAAGAGCCCTTTCAATTCAGCGATTACCACGCGCATAAGAAAAACGAAAGCTGAAATATGTGCATGGACTTCCGTCATCTAAACAGTTAGTCGATACCCGGGCACACCCACTGCCCCAACCCGATACATCAGTAGACGAGACCTCAAAGGCAGCTATTAGCAAATCCTCCTCGAGACAACAAGCAACGCCTTCACGGAATTTACGTCCCCAGGACGAGGACTTTTCCAGTGGAAGGTCATGCAATTGTTCTGAATACCTGCAAACAGAAGTGTTGTTTTACGTCTTCGGATCATCAGAAAAACATCCAGCTGGCAACAATAACAGCAATACAAGATTATATATTATATTTCAAGCACTTGTATGAATATATCGAAAGAATTAATATCAAATTTTTCAAAATAGGGTAAAATCGAATGCCACGCCTATAAAAATTTTATAAAACTATTCAGGAGACGTACAAGGGGAGATGAATGCATATTTTTTATACATTTATATATACAAGATTATATATTATATTTCAAGCAAATGTTCTTCACCGCCATACTTTTCCACAATATGTTCCTTCGTCTGAAAAAAAAATAATTGCACGGTAAAACAAAGCTGTACAACGATACAAATTTTTAAGATAAAAAGAATAAAGTCATATAGCACTAGTAGAGGCACTGTTTTTGAGAGAACATTCCAATGGCTAATGTGTTCGTTATTATATTTTTTGGATCTCATAAGGTTAGTAGGAGATTTTCCAAAACAATCTCCAAAAGCCGCTACGTTGTGAATGAATAAACTAAATCGACCTTCGATTCTTACACTTGGTTTGAATTGTTCCTTCTTTTTCTCGTATTCCTTTTGTAACAGCTCCAGCTTAGTAGGCTCAGCCAATAAATCAACATCGACCCCCTTACCATGAGCCTCCCATGCGAACAATTGAGCACCAGCGTGTTTTGTGGTGTCTCCGGTAAAGCGAACAAAATTTTCACTGTCAAACTCTGACCTGGAATTGCGTTATATGCGTGTTTAAAGGCCATACTGCATTTATAATCATAATAATACTTTAATACTTGGATACTTACTCTTCTGCTGGTACTTGTGGATTTGGATTGTCCCGCATGGATCTGGTTTTGGGATCATAATAGGCCGAATTAGGATCCAAGTTACGGAGGTACTTGGCGGTATCTTCACGTATACGTCAGTTGCGCACTGTAATACGTTGTTTTGAATCCACTTTAGTTCTTGGCATGTCCACTTCGTCAACATATTTATCCTCGTTCCCATCATCATCAGATATTTCCGCATCAGGATCTAATTTAATAAACAGTTTCTGACAATGTATACAGGAATAAAAGTTTCGGAGGTTTCTACTAACCATTCTTTAATTTTTCGGCTTTTAATTGCCGTTCAGCTTCTTCCACCTTCTCATATTCTTCTATAATTTCGCGATGATTGGCGGGATCATAACTACTCCAACGATCTCTTTTCTCATCATAATTTACGGCTTCATCTTGCACAATATGTTCATCGTGAACGACTAAAGAATTCGCATACCTTGCAAGAACTTTACGTGGTCTCTCCAAGCAATCCTTACGTTTACGATATTTGCCACTGCATTGCTCTAATAGGTGACAATAAAAAGTAATCAAACGAAGGTAAACGTTTTGTCTTGTACTCTATAAAGACATTTCCCTTTCTTGGCAAATATTACTTACCGTATTATAGCGTAAAAGGAAAGTATTGTATATTATACAACCATACTATCTAATCATTGACATTGTTAGGACAATATCGATAAGAAATCAATAGCACTTGCTATCACAAAACAGCAAAGCAAAAGAGTTATACCTCTAGGATAATTCACTTTGCAAAAAATCGTGGATGACATTTGGCAGTAACAGTAGTGTTGCCAATTTAAAAACTTTAAGGATGAAAGCTCAGCGTTCATCTCGGAATTTCTGTTAACTCCGTTAGAAACGCTCTATTGTTGAATTCAAAATGAACGCATTCGCGTTTTTATATTTTATAGGTTCCGTTGCATTCAGCACTCTACATAGATGAAAATATGATGCGCTTACCCCTCTTTGAAGTTTTCAGGCGGATAAGCTATGAAAAGCCGATTCACCCTTCACATAAAAATATATGTATCATATGTTATAAAAAGAAAAAAAAGAAGAAGAATTCAATATGATTTATTTGTTACTTCAAACCTTTCTTATAATAAATATTCAAAGCAGTTATAAAAATTTTACAAATATTTTCTCAGCCAATTATATAATTTACCCTCCGAATTTTCATCCAACATGCTGGAAAGCTATAAAAAATAGCATCGATGGAAATTAGGACGTGGGTTAACTGAAGAATAACTAAACCTACGCCGCATTCAGGTTTAAAGAAGCCCTGCTTCTGTAAGCTTCAGGTAAGGGACAAAAGATATTTTTCATTTCACCTGGCGCAGTGTTCGAAGTATAAACTGCTACTGGCTTCGCATCTTTCGTCTTCTTCTAAAAAGTAAATGAGCATAACTTACTTTCACTTAATTATTTCTGCCCTTACCTTCGGTTTTCCTTTCTTTTTTTGCGTTGCCTCTTGAGCCGCTTTCTTCTCTAACTTGGCTTGTAATTTTGCCAATTTTTTTACTTACTTCGCTTCCTTTTCCAAATATATTGCAGTTTTCGTAGGCACACTTCCATCAAGCGGGCAGCACTTTCATCAGCTGCAGTATCACATCCTGCTTGCATTTCACTAACTTGCGTCATCACGTGGAATCTACGTTACCATATTATTGGATTATTTTTAATTTCATTTAATGAAAGAAATTGCAAAAATAGAGGTGGAACTTAAGTTATGGAAAGAACCCGGATGTGGAACTTAATTTTTGGAAAGAACCCGGATGTGGCACAAATTGTTTGAGGAGTAAAACTATAAAAGGGCCATAAATGTAAATAAGAACTTTGCGTAAAACAACGATAAAAAAGTTTATGGAAAAGCAGATTAAAATTTTGGTTAGTTAATGAAAGCAACAATATGAAATTACTGATGCAATATAGCAAAGTAAAAAAACTGCTTTCATTTTTTTAAAATTGGAAATAAATCGTCTTTACTCCTTGTTCTTCATTCATTGTACAGTGGTACACAGTATGAACTAAAATCTTAAATCGTACAACATAAAAAAGATTTAAATTAGTACAAAATAACAATAAATTAGTTAAATTATTTAAAAATTTAAAATGAATAGGCTTTATTTCTTATGCCCTCTTTTTGTTTAACTTGTACATATACAAAACCATATAATTTACGAATTCCCGCAAAGCATTACAAAAAGTTGCAAAATTGAAATTCCATCTCGAAAATGGGTATTAACGCATTATCGTTTTTAAGTTAAACAGCACATAAGTGAAAAGACTCTTGAGTCAAGAGTGTGTACGCTGACAACACAGCTACAGTAGCCGGGGAAATTTTTCATGGTCGGGCAAATTTCTGGTCTGGGATATTTTTCATGGTCGGGGTGTTTGAATTCGCATTTATTGAAAGCAACTCTGTCTTATTTGTTTTAATAAACGATGTAAAGGGAAAAACCAGTCCCTCTTAAGATAAATAAATAATAAGGCGAAATGTCTATCGTACAATATATAATAGTGCGAAGTGATCTGAAAACGATTTTAAATTGGCCGCTTGGTGCGGTAATTGCCCAATGTTGTCACGCTGCCACAGCTGTTTTGCGTTTGTTTGCCGATGATGAACAAACAATACAATATTTGGAGGATCTAGATAACATGCATAAAGTCATTTTAGAGGCCAAGAACGATACCGTCTTGTTAAAGCTGGCTGAGAAATTAAAGGAAGGCGATATTAAACATAAACTGTGGATAGAACAACCAGAAAATATACCCACTTGTTTGGCCATAAAACCGTACGCTAAGGAAAATGTGCACCAATATGTAAAACACCTAAAGTTGTTGCGGGACTAAGTTGTAGGACGTCGGTCGGACGTCTACCTTGATTCCTTCACTTTCAATTTTAAGATTAAATAAACGTAGAGATATCACATATGCCAGTAAATCGCTGAATCTTATGAGAATTGGCAAAATTAAATACAATACAAGTGAATTGGTCACAAATTTCTGTTACTTTACTACGGATAATAAAATGATAATCAATTTAATCTTCCAGATTTTGTGAAGCATAAAAAATTTGTTAAGATATTTTGAAAACTCTCGACATTACAATGAGACGAACATTATGGTTTCTCTCCGTCGTTTTCGCCAACGCATACATTTGCAGTGATTTTCCGAAAGACTAACTATGTATGATGCAGTTATCACTTGTAGTGGAGACGTTCGCCAGTTGGAAAGACATTTAAGCATAAGAGGCTACTGATGTAATTTTTGAGGCACATGTGTTTTTGCTGTGATGGTCGACTATGCGCATAGATAGCCGTGTTTCTTTATGAGCGGCTGAGTCTACATATTTGCTTCGTACACACGAATGATCAAATGTCTTATTGATATATGAATAATCGCTTACCAAAACTTATCACATAAAAAAAGATAACATATTTTTCTCTAGGAAAAAGCTGGAAAAAGGACAATATTTAATACATAATTATAAAGAGTGAAATATTAAGCGCTGCTTACTCGAAAACCGAACTGTCATGTTGATCACCCCATACTAAAATTTCCGCTATACTTCTTAACGATTCTACCAGCAAACCCCTATTATTCTCGGATACCGTTGTTTTTTTTTTTCTAAAATACTATATAAATATTTTAGATGTTCCAACGATAAACGGTTTTTTGGTTTATTCCAAACCAACTAACTACGAAACATTTTTCTACCCGAGTTTTTGAAGAATTTTCACTAGTTTTATTTCTATTAATATCGTTTCAATTTTCCCATCTTTCAACCACAATGCAATTTTATAATATTAATCCGAAAATGTTCTTCAAATTACAGCTGATTACTATGATGGTATTGCGCAACCAAATGAATTGTTTACATAGTGAGAATAACTAAATGTAAACAAAAAAAAATATGTGCTTTGCGAAGTAAAAATAAAGAACATAAATGTAAACCACAAATATATCAAAGATAACGATACAAAAAATTAAGAGAATTAATGTTAATTAATGTAAAAGAGAGTTACATGTTTGATTGATTGCTGAATTAAAAAATGAAGAGTATGAGTCTAAAAGTTTATTAAATACCTGCGCTAATAATGATAATAACTATGGGAAATGCCTTTTAAGTTTAAGTTAAGAGTTACATAAGGTTTGGTTAACCCGGTAATAATAATTTCAATTTAGATATCCATGACAGAAAGGTTTAAAGGATTAAAATGTTTGTAATTATTCAAGTCATACTTTTTGTTCACTTCGCTCTGGCAAAGTTTCACGTTGATCTAGTTGAAATAAATATGAATTATCATTAGGATTCTCCATCCACGTCTAATTGCCGATGAATGATTGAAAATCGTTCGCATTTATAAAACCTATTGTCTGCGATTCGGATACTCTGTCAAATATAAAAAGTTCAATGATGTTTTCTTCAATCCGCTTCTTCTTCTTTTTCTCTCCCATAGAAAATAATATAAAAAGATACTTCAACGTTTCGTTTTTAATTATACAAAAGTAAGAAGAAAACCGAAAGAAATCTGAAATTGCTCTTGAATGAAAAGATGTAATAAAACACATATATATATATACAGTTTTGGAATCATAAAAGTCATTTATATTTGTTGTTGCTGTTGTTGTTGTTGTTGCTTATTATATAGCTTTCGATTTGCATCAAATTTGTTTAGATTTTTAAATTTTCTTTTTTTTTATACTTCTTTTCTCTGTAACTATGCTATACATTTTGTATGCAATGTTTGTTGGTTGCTTTGCCGTCGTTTTTGCTACATTTTGCTGTAATCTCTGTGTGTAATTAAATTTAATTTATTTATTTTTTTATATAATATTGTATATATATTTATTTTGTGAAAACGTTTGCATAGCTGAAAAGGGAGTATCAAAGAGCCGGCAAAGTATGTATATAATCAAATTCTAAACTGATTTAAGCATGTCGCCTATGTTAAGTACATTATAAACATTTTCCTGGCCGCAAAAATCAAGCCATCAACTTCAAATTGGTAGAAAAATTGGAAGTTCTTGCAGGCAGTTTGCTATTGAAAATGGGCCAAATGTTGAAAGAAACGCTTGCAGCATTACATAAGGTGAGGACATCTCTGTTTTTCAAAAGAAAAACAGTTGGTTTTTTGCTTATTACTCATAGGGCATTTAAATGGAAAAAATCGGCAGCGCCTACTTAATTTTATAGTGTGTCATAATTTCATTTTTTTTTCACAATTTCTATAACGCTTAGAAGCAAGGTTAAAAAACGTATAAATGTACAAAAACAAATAAATGTATAAATTTTTTACCAGTTTAAAATTCTAAATGCACTCTGGAATGGTCCGTCTTCGCAACAGTGCAATATCTATGGTAAACATTCACCCCGTTCGCAAAAGCAAAGATATCGCTCGCTAACTGGCAAAAGAAGTAGAAAATGACGCAAACCTTGAAAGAACACATCTCCAAAGCCCATACGTCTATATAACAAAAACTGTGAACCCTTTTATTTTTCGCTTTTTTGTTTCTTACTCATAAAGTATTATACAACAATAAATTCTTTTTATTCCAAAAATAGAAAGAAGCAATTGCACCTATCTATACATCATACAGTATGAAGATTTAGTTCTTTCCCTTTTCTTTGTTAGGATCACGGTGGTGGGTGTAATAGATTCTGTCACGAACATAATTTTCTTGTTTTTGATGGGTACTTGTCGAACCAGATAATTCTGGTTAAAATTAAAGACTCGTATTCTTTTTTGTTTGTTCTATTTCTATTTGTTTTATGTTACATGGGACTAATATGATCGATCCACAAAAGTGCTTTCGGATCTTGAAATTAGAGAAGGAGAATACAAGTAAAACCTGATACGGAAAAAATATGGTCTAAGGGATTTGGGACGGTCAAGTTTTCAGAACCTTCCAATATTGTGGATGTTAACCTTACCTCATATAAAAAATATCGAGTAAATGTAAAATCTTTCTTTCGTTTGATATTTGTCGAATCAGTAAGTTTCCGGTTTCACTTAAAGGCTTCTCTTCCATTTTTGCTTTTTTTATATTCTTTATAATACTTAAATTCGCTAGATGGATTTGATTTTCAGTTAAAACTTTTAATACTTTATTATTTGTAGTACTTCTGTTTGGTTTGTAATGTTTACAATAGTTAAACTAATATTTGTTGAACGAGATAGTCTTGGTTTTCAAGTAAATATTCTAATCCTTTTCTTGATTGTTTAATTGCTAATTACCTTATAGTCTTTAGAATAGTCAAATAGATATTTGTTAAATTAGAAAGTTTTGGTCTTCAATCAGTTTATAAATTTAATATAATTTTTTTCAAAAACATGCTTTTGATTTTTGGGTTTTTTCCTCGTTTGAACACATTTTTTTGCGCAGTTTCGACAATGAAAAACAAGCCATAGATTAATTTTTGCTGACTGCTTTACTTAACTTATCGCGGTAAAGTGTTTATTACTTAATGTTGTTATCGTTATATTGTATACTGCTGGCGTTTCTCGTTTAGGAATTATATGAAAACTTACAAATATGAAAATATGGTATGATACGGTTATAGTAAGTGGATTTTGGTCTATGTACATGTTATACGGCTGTCGTCCGGAGACCTCTTTCAATCTACCTTCCTCTCGTTATAAAGAAAAACTTAGTACATTTTTAAGGTTAACTATATACAATAAAAAAACATTTCTAAGTAAAAATATCTATTTAAAGCAACCAATAATAAATTCTAATATTCTCCGTGGGGCACACGCAATATACTCCGAAGGCTGTACAAACACAAACATAAAGTTGAATTAGTACAGCTAATTGACATTTGCGAGCCAATTTCAAGATCTCAATAATCTTTGGTAACATAACAGCAATCAGCTTCCATTCGTTAGCTTATTCTTACCTTGACAGTAGTATCGCGGATACATTGATCGGCGTCGTTTAAAATGTACACTTTTCTACGCCACAATTTTGCGTACAATTATTCGCATACTTTGTATTTTAAAAGCCTCATTCAACGTAGATCTCATTTATAATTTGCGACATTTTGTGGTGCCTTTTGTAAACCTGATTTTTTATAATGAACGTTGCTTTTTCTGTAGTCACATTCGCCATCGATGTTTTTCTTATGAAATCAAGATAAAGTCATGAAGGACCAGAGTTCCAACTTTCAATTTACTACTTCGTGTAGCTTCTTATCATTTAAAGTATAAGCGTTGAATGTCTCCGGTTTTTCAGAATTAATGTTTTCTATTTTCATTATTTCACTAATTCTTTCTCCCAGCTATATTTCGGTTAAAAGAAACGGCGAGAGCAATTCGCAAAAACAGGCTTTTCAATATAATGTCTGTTGTACAAGTTTTTGAATCTGTCATATTAAAAAACATACACATTGAATATGAGAAGTTTATTGGCATTCGTTTCACACAACTTTCGCAATTTTTTTTAGTAGAAAATAGTTTTTAGATTACAGTAAACTCTTAAATAAAAACGCGTTTAATCCTAACTTTTGTTATCTTATGCGTAGGCCTTTTATGTGTTGACTATTTGAGTTTTAATATGAGTTTTTAATAATTTCAGTTGGCATACAGCTTTATAAAGAAGAAAGTTTTTTTTTCTGTACCTCTTTTCTCTTGTAGACTTTTTAATAAATCAGCATAAACCAAATACAACGTCATCGAATAACAAAGATTGTTCATTTATCATATAGTATTGAAGCGAATTTAGGCTTACTCATACAAATTAATAACAACAGTTAAAAAGTTATAATCGATAAAAGGAATAAATCTCGTAATATTGATTAATATATGATTTTCGAAGCATATATATATATCAGTATAATAAAATGTAAATTTTTTGGAGTTAAACTTTTTTC